CTCCCCCTTCTCATGCTCTCTCTCTCTATCTCATTCTCTCTCTCAAATAAATAAATAAAATCTTTAAAAAAAAATTTATATTTCAATATATATTATTTATACAGGCATATATGGGGCACCTGGGTGCTCAGTCAGTTAAACGATTTTGGCTCAGGTCATGATCTAAGGGTTATGGGATCAAGCCCCTCATGGGGCACCGCACTGAGTGCTGAGCATGGAGCCTGCTTAAGAGTCTCTCTCTCTCTTTCCCTCTGCCCCTTCCCCCACCATGGTACATGCATACACTCTGTCTCTAAAAATGAATAAAATATTTTTTTAAACAAACACAAAACTGTATGTAAAATCTGAAACTGAAAACACAAGAGAATTCTTCCAAAAAAGAATAACTACTTAGTACCTACCTTGCTTATCTCCTCCTCATACTCTCTTCTCAATTCCCCGGGTCTACTTAATAAGCGAACTGGCTGACAGTCATCAACTGTTTCAGATCAAGAAAGAAAATAATATTATAGGCAACACAGAATTTTATGGCTAGCTTTGGTTTTTCATTAAACCTGTATTAATATGAAAACGTGAAATTAGAATAAATGTACAATTATTAATAGCTATAGCAATACCTTCTCTGTGGAGTGCCATTTTATTTTTTTTCTAAAGATTTTATTTTTAAAATAATTTTAAGTAACTCTACACCCAACATATAGTTCAAACTTACAACCCCGAGATCAAGAGTCGCATGTTCTACTGACTGTGCCAGCCATGAGCCCCTATGAAATTCCACTTTATTTTATTTTTTAAAGATTTATTTATTTGAGACAGCGAGCATGCACACAAGAGGGAGAAGATGACTCTCCCCTGAGCAGGGAGCCCAACAAGGGGCTCAATCCCAGGACCCCGGGATCATGACCTGAGCCGAAGGCAGACACTTAACGAACTGAGCCACCCAGGCACTCCTGGAATTTCATTTTAAAAGAAAGTCCAGGGGTGCCTGGCTGACTCAGTCAGTGGAGTGTGTAACTCTTGATGTTGGGGTCGTGAGGTTTTTTTTTTTAAGATTTTATTTATCTATTCGTGAGAGAGAGAGAGAGAGAGATGCAGAGGGAGAAACAGGCTCCCTGCTCCGCAGGACCCTGCCCCAGGACCCTGGGATTATGACCTGAGCTGAAGCCAGTCACTCAACCAACTGAGCCACCCAGGCGCCTTGGAGTCATGAGTTTGAGCCCCATGTTGGGTGTAGAGATTATAAACTTAAAAGAAAAAGAAAAAGAAAGTCCAGAGGTTTTCTGGTTCAGAATGGCACATGAATACATATACTTAACTCTTGTTCTAGAATCTACTAAAATAACAGTATTAAAGGCATTTTTAAAAAGTAATCTTACAACAGCAAAGAGATTAGGGAAGGGTCAATCAGTAAACAGGAAACTTTAACAAATTTCTAGAAAATGGGATGGTGATGTAAAAGAGACAACTTATACATCAGAATGAAGAAAAATGCAACCTCTGAAAAGGAAAGTGAGTTAGGAGATCTGCCCTGTATACTGGAAGAGCAGCTCAGACTCAAAAACACAAGGCACAATAGAGACCACAGTGAGTAAGTGTGGGACAGGGAATTAAAAGTTCACGATCTGTTAAATCAGAATACTTGGCTGGAGGCATTTCTTCCTAAATGTGTGTGTAAGTGCATATATGCACACTCAAAAGTTATTTTTATTTTTTAAAGATTTTATTTATTTATTTATTGGAGAGCGAGCGAGAGAGAAACAGCATGAGAGAGGAGAGGGTCAGAGGGAGAAGCAGGCTCCCCGCTGAGCCAGGAACCCGATGTGGGACTCGATCCCAGGACCCTGGGATCATGACCTGAGCCGAAGGCAGTCGCTTAACCAACTGAGCCACCCAGGCGCCCCTCAAAAGTTATTTTTAAAATGTATTTATTTGAGAGAGAGCATGAGAACTTGCGTGAGCAGGGGACGGGGAAAGGGAGAGAAGCAGATTCCCCATTGGGAGTGGAGCCTGACCAGGGGCTGAACCCCACAACCCTGAGATCATGACCTGAGCAGAAATCAAGAATCAGATGTTTAACCCACTGAGCCACCCAGGAGCCCCTCAAAAGTTATTTTTTAAAGAAACTGAATTGTCTGGACAGGGCCAAGAGAGCTAATATGAGAGGTGGTGACCCAGAGCAAAGCCCTCTAAAATGTGGCACGTACGGTGGCGAAGCATAACGGCCAAGCATAACCTCAAACAATGTCTGCCAGTCACCACTGCCAATATACGTACAAGGAGCGTTATTCTAGGCCCTCATTTTTATTTATTTTTTTGTAGGGCCTCATGTGAAAGTAAAACCAAGGATCATCGGACATTTCAAACGAATCTACAGGATTCAAGAAACACTAAGCCACAATGAGGGGAAAAAAATCATCTCGAGTTAAATCTAGAAAAAGAGAACACAATTGCTCTTTTACAGGGGCAGCTACTACTCAACTCCAGCTGACTACTGCCCCGGGGAAACTTGGGTCGTCCTTGCCATATTTTCTGATTTTTTCAAAACAATCCGGAAATCCGTATTTTATTTGTTTAAGATTTTTAAGATTTTATTTATTTATTTGACAGAGAGAGACACAGCGAGAGAGGGAACACAAGCAGGGGGAGAGGGAGAGGGAGAAGCAGGCTCCCCGCGGAGTAGGGAGCCCGATGTGGGACTCGATCCCAGGACCCTGGGATCATGACCTGACTGAAGGCAGACGCTTAATGGCTGAGCCACCCAGGCGCCCTCTGTAGTTTT